GACATTTGTGACAGCCCTAAATCAGTTAGAACCAAGATTTCTATACACTGATTAGAACTAAGGTGCAGACTGGCTTGGTTGATAATGTGTCTTCTTAACACTAGCCCATATGTTTGAGTCAGAAACGCATTACCTGCGACTGCTGTCATTTGAGTCTGTCGCCAGATATTCATGCTCCTAACCGCTAGTTATATCTGGAGTGGATCCCATCCGAATGAGGTTACTCGCACTGTTAACTGTCCCTGTGTGGTTTCACAGGGCTCAAGAAGACTGATCAGGGCCCTTTTCGGTCGCTGTTTTTATATCAGCGTGCTGTCGCTTTTCCCCATATAAGGAAGTTATTGCTGGCGCCTCTTGGCCTCTCATTGCTCTAACGAATAGACCACTTGAATTCGACCAATGAGGAGCTAAGAAGTAGCAGCATGGTGTCGCAGCCTGCTGATAAATAAACGGGGGGCGAACAGAGCTCAGCTTACTATGCCCGAGGGACCTGCGCATGCCATATGTAATGTGGTGTGATAATGTTTGGGAGGCAGTTTGTTTGCCGAGATATCTGAAGAGAAACAGAAGTTTTGCATGCAGTACAGTATGATGATCAGAGTTCGGTGCTCTGAATAATTGCCTATTATTTGGCAGAGACGGATCCAGCTCGGTTTTTTTTGGGGGGGGGGGGGCAAACCATAACAATTTATCGATTCTTTCCATGCATCGTCCATAGGCGTAATGCTAAAATTATGCCGTTTGGGGCGGGGGGGGGGGGCAAATGCCCATTTGCCCCCCCCCCCCTGGATCCACCACTGTTATCTGGTACTGGTGTTATATATAGCAATATTCCTAACATTGACGTCCTAGAAATGAATGGCATAACACTCAACTGCTTATTAAAAATATTGCTGCAGAAGTTCATGGTCAAAGGGAACAAGCTAACCCCAGGCCACTGGCGGATGAACGTATCCCGCATGCACACACAGCTAGCGAATGGGAAGAGGATGCCATAAAATGCAGTACCTGCTGCTGTTGCACTCAAATGTATCATATCTTAGTCCCATATCCACATAGCAATCTTGTGTACCGTAAAATGGGGTGTTAAGGGACAGTGGGGTGTTAAGGGACAGTTGCATGGGAAAAACTTTGAGTCATATTAACTTCCTAATTTGAGAAGGTTCAATAAAAACTTCAGTGTGGTAGTTGACACTGTTTTGCTCTTGACCATAGGAGAAAATGGTATGGTTTTTCATGCAAGTGATTTGGTTCAAAAATGGATTTGAAAATCATGCTACATTTTCACAAAATTGAAACATCTCCAAAACTCTGTGTCAGTTGGGCAAACTAGACCTTTGGAATCAAAATATGGAGGCATCAAAAGATTGATTCCTTTTGGGCATAAATGCAGACCATTTCTAACTTACCAATCACCTAAAAATAAGAGAGTGTTTCAAGAAGGAGCATGCCTGATCTTGAACAGAAATGCTTGAACTATCTCCTAAGCAAAATAATATTGCTCCTATCATAACAATTTGAATTCTTTAGGTAGTGAAAGGCAATCAAGGAATTGATTAACTTTAAACAGATAATCATAATATTGATTCCCGATCAGCTGGCTAATCATTATTTTGATTCACAGGTAATGTTGACAGATAGGCAACAATGACTTGCAAGAATACAGCATTTTTCTTGCTATTATTCTCATTTAGTGGTATCCTCAGCACCACAACTGATACCTATAGCATTGTTGTACTTTACCTTCACTACATTTGATAACAATTCACAATTTTTAAATGTCAAGAATACAAAAACTGAAGCAACAGGTAAAAACCATATAAATAATATAAAAGCACTACAACAATGATAATTAGGGGTTTAAAAATTTCATTTTGCCATTTTACACAAATACTGATTGGTTAGTATGTGATTCATGATACAAAAATAACATACAGTGTGATTTCCTCAAAACAGCTTTTACGTGATGGACAGTGGCTCTGTCTTTTTCCCATTCACAAGGCCAAAGGGACAATTTCTTAGCTTTGAGGTAACACTTTTTGCAAACCTACCACATTTTTCTACCTTTTAAAAGAAAAATCTCACCGTCATGGGCCTTTTTTCAACCGTAACGATTCATTCGAAGTTAAAAGTGTACCCAAATGAATCAAAAAATTGATTCCATGCCCATATTTGGTCATGGCTCCTCCCACCAGAATCAAATTATTGATGCCTCCATATTTTGATTCCAAAAGTCTAGTTTGCCCAACTGGTGTGTACCACATAAACTAGTGGGTGTACAGGGAAAATGAATGCATAGGTGTATTGTCACATGTATTGCACATGTTACCTGAAAAACTTGTGCAAATCCACCCATTCATTCATCATCCTCTTCCTCTTTTCCGGATACATGCATATTTTGAGGTGGATGTGGGGTGCTAAGGAACAGGGAAGAAAAAATAAAAAAATAATATCTAAATATAATTTAATTAAGTAGGCATGGAAAACACCAAATTCCACATAAAATGCTGGCAGGTTCATGCTTTTATCTCTAACACATCTTAAGTTATGTAACAAAACATCTCAACACTCTCTTTTACAATGATGGGTCAATGGAGACTGATGTAAGTAAATGTGATGTCATCATAAAAAGGCTAAAACAAAGAGGGCAAACATAATGACAAGTGACAAGCTTCAACATGGGTTTTTATTGATGACAGAAGATTGCTTTTTGGTTCTGTTTACCTTATGATTAGCACATTTTCCACAAGCGTAAACTGCATTACACGTAATTGGCTAAAAAGGTCATTAGTGGTGAATGAACCTGACTTGTTTTGTGACAGAATATGCAAAACATTTCAATAAATAAATTTTGTGCCCTTCCACACCCCAATTGTGGGCATTTGATGACCATTTCTTGGAATAATATAGGTGTCCCTTAACACCCCACATTGGGGTGCTAAGGGACAGTGATGAAAAATAATAAAAAATAATATGCAGGTATAAATCTTAAAAACTTAAATGTGGCAGGCATGTAAAGCACCAAATTCCACATAAAATGCTGATAATTTGATGCTTCTATCTCCAACCCTTCTGAGTTATATAACAAAACACCTCAAAACTGTCCCTTAACACCCCGTTCTACGGTACCTACTTTCTTTTCAATTAAGAAGTAATTTCTTCTTAACCTTCACTTTTATAGTGTCAACTTTTCAGCATGTATTGCATAATGCATACATAAGCATGAGTATGTCTAATTCTTATAAGTCAAATTTTGAGACAAATAAATGCCATAGTTTCCAAATTAGGTGCAAATTATGATAACATTTCAGCACAAATTCACTTGTACTGAATTTCAGGGCATAAAAATCCCTGACATGTTGGGCAGAGCGTAGTTACTGGGTATCTATGAATTTTTCCATCTTGATCTGGACAACAATATTCAGAGGACACTTTAGCCTTCAATTCCTGGTTACCCCAAACAGTCCCCTGCAGTTGATTTTAATGCAAATGTTGATGTACCACTTACTTGTAGCCAAAGACAAAGCAGACGTCCGGGGTAACTTTGTACATCTTCGCCAGCTTCTCGCGAATCTGGTTTTTGCTCAGGCCCGGCTTGCCCGGGTGGAGCACATCAACAACCATCTGCTTCCTGCATAGCAGGCGGTTGGTCATAAACTTCCTCGTGCGAATAGTGGCGGTTCCTTCACTCTGAAAGCAATAATTCGAATGTCAACAACGCAAGTTCGTGAATGGGAAATCACAACACGGGCTGAGAAGCCAAAATTATGTTTTCAAAGGCAAAAGAAAGCACTAGGAAATCACACATCGCTAAGACTTTTTCGGAATCGAAAAACATTTTAAACAATAAATACGTACCATTTATAAATAGAATATAAATACTTACCATTTTGTTAACTGTCGGCGCGACAATGCTTGCGCGGAAAAGGCCGTGATGCGGCACCGCCGGAGATAAAATATTTTATGTATAAGATGAATGATTTTCTTTCTATTTTTGTTAACCCATCAAGTGTGATCAATTGTGAATGATTTAAAATTGAAAGAAATAAATTGAGGAAAATTAACAATGGCATTCAGGTGCTCAGTTTACCAAAAGCCATTATATAGAGCCGCAAGTTTTGCTGGTAATCATCCATGTTTTTGACAGCAAATGACTCTTGTCATTTTAAAAGCAAAATAACAAGACAATTCCTACGCCTTTCAACAGGTCTTGAAAAGAAATCAATAATGATAGAAGCATATGTTGTGATGTTCTTTCATTAACCCGGTTTACATAGCATATTTGACGAGGCTCTAGCTCGTTAATTTGGCGATAATTTCGTTGCAGTGGTCTTCAAATATTTAGAGGGGATCATTTTGTAAATTGTTAAGCACCATTTGCATCTTTTGCAATATCACGGACGGAGATATAAGTTTGCAACAAACCCTATGTAAACGCGTCTATCGTATCTAAATGAGAGGAAAGCTGGATTCCTAGCGCCATAGGCGGCAAGGAAAGTCATTGAAGGTTGCTTCGATGCGAATAGAGGACGCGCCAGTCGCATTTACAGCCTCGGGCTGCTGGGCTTCCGGCGACAAGGAAATGAATCTGAGTTCTCGCCCTCGGAAACCTTTAACGATGCACTCGGCGTGAGTTGTAATGGCTATTACAATGACTTCGACATGCAGTGTAAACTAAGAGATGTCAGGCTGTGCAAATCCAGTGTGTTGATCGTTTGGCAATGGCATAAATATCCATGTCAAACGGTAAACGCCAAATGGTCCATGGACTGGAAAACTCGAGATAAAATAAAAACCAAGGCCATATATAGGATAAAAACCGCCTCCACATTCACCCCATACGATACGTTTTCGTTCCATCAGAAATGATGTACAAAATGACACTGCAGCGCTACTCCAAAGAAGCACATTGGTAGAGCACGGGCAACATAGCTTGTTATAATCCCAAACGCGTAAAAAGTGAAAACATACGTTGTCGAAACACCAACAAAACGTCAAAAAAGGTGGAATGTGCGTTTTATTGTGAACACGCGACTCATGCGACACTTTGTACCATACGCACGAATAATGTGGCCATTTCAATAGATAAGTGCCACGCGAATATCGTCACATACTTCCCAATCTCTAGCGCGCAGCTCAACTTCACACACCCACAAGACGGTCCGCAATTCATTTCACTACATGTCAGCTTTGCCAGAGACTAATAACAGCATTCAATGTAGTGGAATTGGGGTCAGACTATCAGCACGCCAGGGGATCGCTTCCGTTATATCGTACTTTTTCTGGAAATGTTGCCCATAATGCTAGACTTTCAGTGTTATGGCGAGCCAAATCTTTGCACGTGGATAGTTAAATTGATATTTGAGCCATTTGGAGCGAGGTTTCTATCTACTACTGACATTAAGGCTGAAGTTGCACTGACAAGACGGTACATTCACGACCTTACAAACAGTGGCAGGGTAGGAACATGCTTCTTCTTTGAAAATAGTGCCCCACACATACCCGATAAGGTTGTACGTATTTACGATATACGTTCGCTTTACGACACTGTGCGATTGTGAAATCTACGTCACATATTATCGACCGAGTGCAATAAATATACGACAGGTGACTGTGAAGTAACTTAGTCAACAAGCAAGTGCACAGCTGTGATGCTTGCCGATTGATTGCTTGCACACAACAAAACGTTCACTATGTGACACGAGTTATTTATGAAATTAAAGCTAATTAACTAGAACATGAATAACATTTTTTGGATGACATAGCAACAAATATCATGGACAATGTGTTAGGCAGTTATAAGAAGTGGACATCTTCTAAGGTTCATTGTGCTTCTCTTGTGCGCCATTTCCAAGAAGATGAGGCACTTTGCAATTGGTTTCCAATCAAGTACCTAGGTCAAGGCCAGGTTCAGGTATCTTAGTTTCATGTTAATTACCATAAACGTAGTATGGTAATGATAATTGAAACCTCCTATGGACTCTGCGATCAGATGTTATGTAAAAAAGCAAAACGAAAGAACATCCAGGTGATGATAATGTGACGTCCTGCCGATAGATAAACTATGAATTTGGGCAAAGTCCTTATCACATACTGGTACGTAATGTCTAAACTTGAACTGCCCGAGCAGTGAATGAAACACTAGAGACCAATAGCCTTTAGAGAAATGAACGACATCATACTATCCACCGAACACATAGACACTAACGAAACGTCGCCTGGGGCGAGCTGACTGGGACCTGCTTCTTTGGTATGGAAACGAGATCGTAACTAATCTTATGGGTACCCCATGTCTTGTTCTGTTTAATTAAATATTTATACACCATGGACATAACCCAACTTCCAACAAATTCTCATTACCCTTCAATGATGAAAGGGGAATCAACAAACGTATGAGGCGCCCGAAACTACATAATCCTAGCATTTCGCACGAAAAAAATCCCTTCACAGAACGAAGGAATTCCTTCACGCTATGAAGGTATCCCTTCATCCTCACGCATCGTTCTTGATGAAGACCTTGGGTCGGCTGAATATCCTGATGCCTTCCTCCACTTTCTGAAGCTGCCGCTCTAAATCTGCCCGCTGTGCTACCAGACGAGACGAAGTATGGGCGATGGGGAGCGAACGGAGTTCCGAGAGCAGCGTCACGTGATCTGGGGGCGCAAACAGGCAGGTCACGTGACGTAAGGGATACAGGCGTATACTTATAGGACAATCGATCTGCGGACAACAGGCATATAAAAATGTCATGTGACATGTGTGATCCGAGCGCATGGAACAGGTGATGTCCCGTTCATACACAGAAACAAGTGACTCTTGAGACACAAATTAAAAAAAAAATCGTATGATATTTAGGTGCATTGAGCCTCTCATAGCCTTTACATTTGCCCTGTAGCCTCTCCCCAGTCCCACACAAATTATTTAGCCTCTCCCCAAACCCCCACTCACTCTCTTTAAGCACACTGTAGCCTCTCCCCCCCCCCCACTCACTCTCTCAGAATATAGCCTCTCCCGAGCCCCCCCCCCCCCCCAACTCACTCTCTTTGACCACACCTTAGGTCTATAGCCTCTGCCCAGCCCCCAACTCACTCTCTTTAAGCACGTCGAGCGTCTGTAGCCTCTTTCCAACCCTTCACCTACTCTATAGCCTCTCCCAAGCCTCCCCAACTCACTCTCTTTGACCCCACCCTAGGCCTATAGCCTCTCCCGAGCCTCCCCAACTCACTCTCTTTGACCCCACCCTAGGCCTATAGCCTCTCCCCAGCCCCCCAACTCACTCTCTTTGACCACATCGAGCGTGTGTTGCCTCTCGCCAACCCTTCACCTACTCTATATATAGCCTCTCCCGAGCCTCACCAACTCACTCTCTTTGACCACACCCTAGGTCTATAGCCTCTCCCGAGCCTCCCCCACTAACTCTCTTTGACCACACCCTAGGTCTATAGCCTCTCCCGAGCCTCCCCAACTCACTGTCTTTGAGTACACCCTAGGTCTATAGCTTCTTCCCAGCCCCACACAAACTGTGTAGCCTTTATGAACTCCCAACTCACTCTCTTTAAGCACGTCGAGCGTCTGTAGCCTCTCCCCAGCCCCACACAAACTGTTCCCAACTCACTCTCTTTGAGCACATCGAGCGTCTGTAGCCTCTCCCCGTCTGCCATCCGAATATGTCCCGGGGGACAGGCCGGGTCGGGGGCTGACTCGATCCGTCTTCGCTCTTCGTCTGCCCACTGCTGTTGACGACGGACTAAGTATCTGGGGAGAGAGGGTTAGATGGACGGGGTCAGTATGGGGTCATGCAGGTCAGTAGTAGGTCATTTGTGCTGACGACGTACTAGGTATCTGGGGAGAGACCAGAGGGACAGGTCATTTTGGGGTCATGCGGGTCAGTAGTAGGTCATTTCGAGTCAGTTCATTGCTGTTGACGAACTAGGCATCTGAGGGAGGGACCAGACTAGGGACAAGTCATTTCACTGGCAGGGCAAGCTGAGGGAGAGACACAGGTGGGTCAATAGTGAATCATTGGGTCAGTCCATTGTACTCCGGCCCTGTTTCACGGCACTACGCTGCAGAGCGATACGCGTAGCGGTGTATTGGGTTTCCATGGAAACATCAACAAACTCAGACGCTCGCAACGCTGGAGCGTCGAGCCGAATTCGTCTCGCACGCCGCACCAATACAGCAGCGTAGCGCAGCGTCGGGCCGTGAGACAGGGCCCAGGTACCCAGGGGAGGTGTCAGAGAGGTTAGAGGGGCAAGGTGATTGTGAGGTCACTGGGTAGCTGTTTGTTTAGTGAGTTTAGTGTGGTAGGTTTAGGGAGTTTGGTGAGAAGTTTAGTGGGTCATTTATAGTCAGCCCATTGTTTGGTGCCGCTGCACTAGGCACCAGGTGATAATTCTGGAGGTTTAGGGCGCTCGGAGCTGATAGTAGCACACATATACCTAGGGCCTAGGGGAGGTGTGTGGGTGGGAGGTATTGGGGGTCATTGCAGGGTCGTGGAGGTCATTTAGGGTGAGCCATTTGCCGCTGGCGGGCGCAACCAGGTACTTGAGAGATAGGGGAGAGCTGGGGTGGGTGGGCTAGGGGATCACGATGGGTACACTCGGGGAAGGGCCATTTGAGTGAATCACTCGTGGGTTATAAGAGGTCACCAGCGAGTGATTAGGAGCGCAAGTCAGAGTAGGTATTCAATTTTAACATGGTACTCCAGCGAATAGTTCGCCGATCTCTTCCTACAGTACTCCAGCGAATAGTTGGCCGCTCTCTTGCTAGGTGCTGACTGAGTGAAACTATGCAAGGTCATACAGCTGTTTTCTTTTTACAAATTTAGTCCGAACCTTTTGAATGGAAAGCTTCAGAAGGAGTCAATGACAGAGCCATCGCCAAAAACAGTCTGTTGGTTCCGATCTAAAAATATCTAACTCACAACACAGACCCCCAATAATCCACTTAACTAAGTTATAAATCACCAACATCGCCATCCCATCCTCTCCCCGCCCACCCACCTGGGCAGAGATCCGGGCTGCGTCTTGGGCTTCACTACCGCCGCCTCCTCCCCACGCCGGGGTACACTCCTAGCTCTTCGTGACCGCTGGGAGGCCATTCGACGGTTCAGTCTCACAAAGTCTTTTGGTGTCTCTGATGACTCTTGTGAGGAGGGATGAGAACCCGGTGCTGTCTTGCCGGGAGTGTGAGAGGGAGAATGGTTGGATGAGGTATTGGTAGGGTTTGGAGAATCGTCGATGGGTGGTGGATGGGAGATGGGCGCCACACGTGATGCTGCGTCATTTCTTGTCGACACCACGCCACGTTTGTCACCTGATCGCATCGCGCCGTGCTCGTCTCCAGCACGCGCCAGTTTCGTCACACTTTGCGACTTCCGCTTGTTGAGCAGACGGTTGGGTGCTTCAGGCGCAGCACGAGCGGCAGCACCATCTCGTAGCGTCTCAGATGACTTGAACTTCCGACTGTTGACAATAGATGGCGCTCGGTACGGTGCTTTCGCTCGCTCTAACGCCTGTTCTCGGAAACTGAGTCGGGTTTCATCACTGAACCTCGTCACGGGAGGCTCAGATACCCTTCCTGTCGACGCTGCCCCCCTTGACATGTCCTGTCGGCTAGAAGAATACAGCTGACGGACTTCAGAGGTCAACTCGCGTGTGCTGCCATCTGTTGGTGACCGCCGTAAACTACCGATGAGCGCTCTGATTCGCTCACGACGCAGGTCGCTTTCAGATGAGCGGTCTGATATGTTTCCATTGGGTATGTTGAGGCGAACAGAGCGAGTAGGATTGTCTTCAACGTCGCCGCCTCCGTCTCCGTTATGAGTTCGGTCAGGCCACGACGGTGCCGAGGAGAGTGAAGGAATTCCTTCACCGCCGTTGGTGTGGGATGAAGGAAATCTCTCGCCATTTGTGGCGTGTGAAGGGAATGCTTCGCGGGTCCGGTTTCGTGAAGGGATTCCTTCATCATCGAAAGGCGAAGACAGCCGATCGCCGTTGAGGGTCCTGGTAGATTGGTTATTGTTCATCACGCTCCCTGAATGATTGTGCCGACTTGCAGCTGATGCAGCATGCATCTGGTACTGATTCAAGTCAGCTGCAGAAGAAGTCAAAGTTGCTCCTGAAGACAAGCTCCCGGAACCGATATCACCAGACGAAGACACCCGTCGAAAGCCACGCGGTGAAGGAATCCCTTCATCACACACACGAAATCCTTCCTTTGGTGAAGTTATCCCTTCACCCGGTGAAGGAAACCTTCCGTTTTCAGCCGGCACGTGCTGCCTGCCTGGCGAGATGACCCTGACCCCACGCACGCCCTCGACTGCCGAGAGGTCACCGTTCAGCTGACCCAGGTCAATGTGACGGCGCGGAGAGCCGGGGCTGGCCACGAACGACGCAGCTGAGGATGATGACTTGGAGTGACTGAGCGCTTCCTGGAAAAGAAGGATAAAAACCATCGTCAGCTGTCATCTTAGATGCAACACGGGATTTGCTGGAAAACGGTAATGTCATAGCATAAGGTAATGTGTTCGACTAAACCTTGTAATATTTTCATATAAAATTCAGCTTCAATGTTTGAATTGACAGATTCAATGAGATCACAGGTCCGCGCTAGAACAGCCTGTTGCATAGGCCTCTACCACTACCTCCCGATCCCAAAAATGGCAGTTAACCAGTAACCACCAAACATATCCCAATCCATAACACATTCCCTTCTCTTCCCATCCCGCAGCCTGATTGGCTGACCTCAGTGACGCCATTGATGGGCAGAGCTCTCATTGGCTGTCGTCCTCCGCCGCTGTGACGACCGTGGCTGCGATTGGTCCGTAGTTTTTCACGAGCGTTGACACACTCGGTACCACCTGTCGAGCGAAGAGTAGTTGTTGGTTCAAAGAACATCCTGCCATTAGCAGAACTGAGTAATTCAAGTAAGAAGGTGTTAGAAATAGGCATGTGTTTGTCAGTGTTTGTGAAATAGGTGCAGTGTTTGTCAAAACTGTGACTTTTTTACCCGTGTCTCTGTCTTGAAAAACGTGAAAATCGTATCTCGTTACTCCGTTCGTTATTCTAGATACCAGTATAACGCCTTTTGGGGTGACTAACGGAGCGAGCGAGAGGGTGGACCTTGCACGTGCGAAATTGCGAGGGGTACCTCCAACTGACTTGTGCACGGCACCCTACTAACCGGTCTCTAGCGATGTGCCAAATTTGGGCACAATTGGCCCAGCCGTTCTCGAGATCTGGAAGCGGCACCCTGCACGTGCGCACGTGCAAAATGGGTCCCAACTGACTTGTGCACGGCACCCTACTAACTGCTCCGTAACCGTGTACCAAATTTGAGCGCAATCGGTCGAGCCGTTCTCGAGATCTGGAAACGACCCCTGCACGTGCGCACGTGCAGCAGCGCCCCAACTCTGGCACATGGATATGCAGTGCCTAGTGGGTGCCTACCTACATGCCAACTTTCAGCGCAATCGGCCCAGTAGTTACCGAGATATTGCAACAATTACAAAAGTGACACCTCTTCGTTTTGCACGTGGCACGTGCATAAGGGGTCACCCACATGCATCGGGAATAGTCCAATACTTGGTAGAAGGAATGAAGCTACCCTACAAAAATTACCGCATGTAAATCGGTCAAGTGGTTGCTGAGATATAAGCGTCGCAAAAGCGTGACCACGGCCGGCCGGCCGCTCATACTCAGAAATTTCCGTTAATCTAAGGAAAGACTACGCTCGCTTCGCTCGCTCCGTAATAATGTAGCGGAAGTTCGTTGCTCTGTCCCTCTGCAATGCACACTTAGTGATGCGTATTTTACACACTTCTAGGACGAACCACAAAGTAAAACCGTCAAGAACTATCTAAGACTAGCTATAACCGCCAAGATTTTGGGCCCACCAACAAAGTCCACGGGACCACCTGCTCCGACGCGTTAAGTGGAAGATCTAAGAAGGTTCCGTCGGCCGCTCCGTAAGCCGAGCAGCTGATGAAACACCAAAATTTACCGCTCACGAGCGACTGGTCAGCGGCGGCGGCCGTTGCCTTATATCATGTTCCAGAGTGGTGCCTCGAGTTAAACGACTGTGCCTTTGCACCATTCTGCTATCACCTTGTTGCTATAGTGTACTGCAAGTTTCACTGAATATCTATGCTCTATTTCCTGCGTACGTTTGGTTCCTTAATAAACATTGTGTCTGTGAAAAAGAAGCCTCCAGGTGAAGCCCCGTCGGGCTAGGACACGCCGGACCTAGATCTCCAAAAGAAGACCGACAGCATAGGACGGGAAGTTACTGGGGGAGCTGAGACGAGGCACCGGCAGGCTGGGGCCGAGGAGCCGCCCCAAAGACTGACTGGAATGTATAGCGTGGGACTGAATAGGACGCTGGGATAAACCCTGGCCTTGGATGAAGGTATCTAGCTCCTTTCATTCACGCTCTAGCCTTTGCCTGAGAAGGGGCGTTTTCGGCCACATCCATTTATTTGCGTGTGTTGAGAAAACTAAAACACTGTGCCACGGATGCTTGGTATAACCTTTCATTATGCACATTGCACAATACCAGGCTACATGTATCTCGCAGGGGTGGAATCTGAAAGCAGGGGGCCGGAGGGCAAATTAGTAAAGTGATTACTAAGTCCTCACCCTTCCAATGCCTCTAACAGGTCAATTATCACATGACAATATCAAAAGCCTTCAGCAAGTCGCCCCAGGCGCCCTGTTTTCAGACTCCACACTTGCAGGTAGCATATGCTACCTATATACCTATATACCCATGCCCCTGACACCATCAGCTGCCTTCTGGGCCTCGTTTCATAAAGAGAGTCTGTAACTTACGGCCGGTTTTTGGACTTGTATTGCAAGTGCATGTGAAGAGATAAAGTTATTTCCCCCTCTCCCTTCTGTTCTTGCCTACAAGATAAATCAATTCAACGATTCAAATGATCGTCATCGCTTCACAAGCGCTTGCAATTCAAGACCAAAACCGACGTAAGTTACAGACTCGCTTTGTGAAAGGAGGCCCAGCTGCTCTCACCTGCTGTCACAGAAGGGAGGCCTGGAGCGACTGCGGCCGGTGGGGAAGGCTGACCCAGCAGGAACCCCACCGTACCACCGGTGTGCTGCTGCCAGATCTTCCGTGCCTCTGGCCGCACACGGAACGGCCGGCACGGCATGTCACGACCCCCAGCCGTGAGATCGTCGTGGCTGCTGGATGCGACGCTATCTTTTGGGGGCGCTTGATGCTGCCGTCTGCCGGGCATTGCTTGCCTACTGGAAAGAGGTGGGGGGTAATACCAACTGAGCTACAGGACCAACAGGGCTGTCTCATCCCTATCTCCGTAACGTGTCGTGTGCGACCAATGACGTCACGGCATTGCGGCGTTCTGATTGGGCGGCAGCTCCGAATCGCCCGACTGGTGGTCCCCGCTCGACAAGCGCACGTGCGCCGACTATAGGCATTTGTAGTGGCATTGACGGCAGAAAAAAGTGAGTTAATGCAGAGCTCTGAATATACTTGAATAGTGTCTAAGCCGTTAGTAATACGTAAAAACGTCAGATAGGTTTCTTGTTTGTCTTGATTTGAGCTTTAATATGATATGATTTTTACCTTAGTGTCGAGTCTGGCAGCTATGTGGGAGAGCCCTAAAGTTGGGTCATTTTCCATAGAATTGCATTACAGCCGTCCGACGCTTCGTACCTGTGACGTCACGGAAATCGCTGCTTTGGCCTAATGAGCATACCTTCTATATAGGGCCTTGCAGGACCAATATGATTATTATGATATATATTTATCCATACGATGAATTATATCCAATATCTGGCCTAGGACAGTCGGGCACACTGTGGTATTTCCGATCCATTTATGGAAACGTTTCCATTTTTGGAACAATGTTCCAAAAATGGATACGCCGTTTCCAAAAATAGAAACGGTCTGTTCCATAAATGGAGACGCTGTGTGCATCGCTACCTTTAAAGCAAACTGGGCATTGATTGGTGCAATTTGGCATGCGCAGGATGCCACCAATCGACAGCCAGTATTCTAGTTTATGTTCCTGTTCTCCGACTTTCCGATCAGAAAACCGAAAGTTGACGAACGAGGCGATGCTTATAACATGTCGACGTGATAAAAAAATTCACACGTTTTTCTAATCGAAAATAATAACATTTATGAATGTTTTGTACAAAAAATAACGTTTTTAACAGACTACTGAAAGACTGGCCGATTGATTGGAACAACCACATCACTGGGAACTTCAGTTTTTCATTCATTTTCACGCTGCATTTTCCGGTGTACTAGCGGCCTGGTGGTCGTCAATCTTTGATTAAATCGCATGAAAGTTGTTGCAAAGCCCTATTTGGAGACTTAAGTGGGCATTTTATGATATTTCAAATGTGCTGAATATGATCGTAGGCTCGGATCAACGTAAATCTCCGTGCACATACGTAAAAAGCAGGATGGAAGTAAGGTCTGCACCGTCGTCACACCAAATACCGTTGTATTCTGACGATGAATTTATTCATTCTAGCTCATGTGTAACATTGATATCAATTTTATATATTGAAATGATATCTACGCTTTATGTATTGCCCACTTTGGACCACATCTGTCCAGTAGTTTCTGGGAAATCTTAGTTTTAGTTGACTTTTGAATGTGCTCAAGTTGCGGCACGTAATGTATTATTATCGAACCCGACGTCCAAGCTAACTGCCGAGAGCCGAGATGCTAAACCAGTCCCAAAACATCAAATTTTTAGTTGCATGTGAATTTTAAAAACACATTAAAGCTAAGTTTGCACACATTTGAACTTCAGTGTTTCTATTTTTGGAACATCGGCGTTTCCATTTTTGGAAACTAAGTCTCCATAAATGGATACGATTCAGGAGGATTTTAAAGACGTGAATTTGAATGCATACGACAGCTTTCCATGCAAGAAGACAAGTGCTTTTGGTGTATCTGAGCTTGTTTTAAGCGAAACAGTTGTTATACATCAAATCCAGCCACCCTTGGCAAGAAAATATGTGCGGAGATGTTAGCGTTTCTATTTATGGAATGAGCGTTTCCATTTTTGGAACAGAAGAGTAGTCAAAATTGGAAACGTTTCCAATAATAGAAACGTCTCCATAAATGAATCGGAGATACCACAGTGCGCCCGACTGAGGATTTCCGTAGATTAGAGATCCATTCCATTGATTCCAGAAATGAGAAATACCAAGAAGGATCACTTATCAAGTATCAACCATGCATGGCAAAACATTACAAAATAATAAAATAAAATCACAGTGCGAATAAAACTATAAAAATTTGATAAAATCCAACACACTTTACTCCAGTGCCCCGCCGGTCGAATGTTTACAAAATAAGAGCGTTTCTGGCGCATATGTTACATGTCTTTCAAGGATTTGGAAAATAACTTGTCAATTCAGCAGCAACGAATATTACCTTCCAAATAAGCGGGCCACATATATACGATTCCAGGACAAAAAGTCAAAAGACAAAATGTCAAAAGACAAAAAGTCAAATGCAAAAAGTCAAAATGGATGAAAGTCAAATGGAAAAAAGTCAAATGGATAAAAGTCAAAACGGATAAAAGTCAAAAGACAAAAAGTCAAATGGCAAAAAGTCAAAACGTCCAAAAGTCAAAAATGCAAAAAGTCAAATGGTAAAAAGTCAAAATGGCGAAAAGTCAAAAACGCAAAAAGTCAAAAGCAAAAAGTCAAATGGCGAAAAGTCAAAATGGCAATAAGTCAAAAACGCAAAAAGTCAAAAGCAAAAAGTCAAATGGCAAAAAGTCAAAATGGCGAAAAGTCAAAAACGAAAAAAGTCAAAAGCAAAAAAGTCAAATGGCAAAAAGTCAAAATGGCGAAAAGTCAAAAACGCAAAAAGTCAAAAGCAAAAAGTCAAATGGCAAAAAGTCAAAAAACGCGAAAAGTCAAAATGATAAAAATCAAATGGAAAAAGTCAAATAAGAAAAAGTCAAAAGTAAAAAGTCATATAGGTATCTAAAAAACCATAAGACACCGCTCGCTCGTAATTAACCCTATGGCGTTGCATGGAAAAAAATGAGTTCAAACTGCCTCGAGCCCGGCTCCAACATTGAGAAAGTTCCAGCGCCAGTGCTCCCACATGTAATAATAACCTGTGAATCATTTTCATTTTATTACTTAATGGATTCGTTCATTAAAATATGTTCATTTCTTTTAACCAAATTTCTATAAACCCAGCGCGTTGGATGCTGGACCAGTCAGCGATGACCGTACAGAGACCAGAGAGCGTGAGTGGACGGAGGGGACCGCGTCCAGTCTATCGGGCACGTTTAAACTTTCAGATAAAACTTTGCCATAGCACTGGAATTGCACGATGGGGCAGTGGTGACCCGGGAACGTTTGAAAAGTTGATGGGGTAGGTTGAAAGTTGAGGGGACAAAAATTGCAACTCAAAATTTTGAAATTATCTCGTCTTTTGTATTTTTTACTTTAAGTCCATTGACGTCATTTAAAGGTAGTGTGCCACCTTTGAAAGATTTCCCATTTTATTTTTCCTAGGATAAGAAGCTTCTGTTTTTACCTAATATCGCAAAAAAAATCAAAAATGGGCCTGGAATAGTGCCTTTTTCGCCTAAAAGTTTATCGGTTTTTAGATATGTATAACAACTGTAGTGGGCTCACCTGTAAACAGGCATCGGCAACAATCGCGAATGCGGCGCACATGTGACAATAAGCAAAGGTCATTATAGTGTTACGACCATACGACGTACGGGAATGAGTTATCAGCTGTCTAATCGTAGACAACACAATGTCGACTTCGAGCCTTTAACTGTAAGCCTGTATTGGTATTGTTTCTTTTATTTGGCTGTCGAACATTATTTATGGTTTGAAATATGATTTTATGTAAAATAATTGATATGAAAAAGCCGTCTCATAAGTTATGACCCCATTTCACCACACGCAAGTGGCAGAAATGACAATGATCAGCTGACGCATTTTTCTTGGCCAAAGTCAGAGCGCGCAGCCCGACGCACCACCACCGCACCACAAAGTATGAGCAGAAGCCGCGCCCAAAGCCAGGGCCCCGGTAACGTGAGGTAGCCGAGTCGGGGCAGCGTGCGCTGACCCAAGCCGGGGCCGCAGCTTTGGGCGCGGTCTACCGCATCCCCGCGGGCAGCCCCGGGCTATCACATGACACCGGGAGGACGCGCGGCTCCGGCTTGGGTCAGCGCACGCTGCCCTGACTCGGCTACCTCACGTTACCGGGGCCCTGGCTTTGGGCGCGGTCTACCGCACCACCTAACACGCGTGTTCGAAACCGCAGGAGCTGATGATGAACGGGTTTATCGAAACTTCATTGGATGAGCATATCGGTAATAGCGATTTCAGTGTGTGCATTTATTGTTCATAGTGATGTGAAATGCGGTTGGGGTACGACCGACAACCCGTCGGGGCGAATTTCGCACTGGGGTACTCAAAATTTGAAGAATTAAGACGTTTCCATGAGTTTTGAAGGTATGGGTAAGTTCTAAAAATCCGGTTCTCCTTATCTGGGCCATTAACTCCATACGGTCCAGGAAAGCTGGCACACTACCTTTAACCCGCGCCCCACTGGGGGGGGGGCTATTTATAGCCCCCCCTCCCGTTTTTCTGCAATAACTTCCAAACCGCTTGACGTATCGACGCCAAACTTTCAGTACCTTTGGCTGCATCAATTTGACACCCTGTGTCAAAATTTGAATTTCGTACCTACCATAGGTCGGCCGGAAATGACGTCAGAGTGACGTCATGTTCGGCCGATTTCGACGCAAAACATTGAACCACGGCAATCGCTCCCAAGAGCTCAGTTTTTAAGCTAGATCCAATTTCTTTGCATGAAAGGACTCAGAATAGACTGCGCTATCAAACTGCCATCTCGGATTTTCGAATTTTTAAAAAATTCGGAAATTTTATATAATAAAACTCAAAATTTATATTTTTACATTTTTTTTCAAAAAATTTTTGGCTTTTCGAAAAAACGGAATATATGTGATAGAACGCATTATTATGACTAACTCTAGCAAGTTTTAGCTAAATATCTTCAAAAATGGCCAAGTTATACGCATTATTGCAAAAAATTAACAATTATTAATTTTTCAAATCAATTTTTCAGCATGAATTTGACATCTTACGCCAATATAAATAGCACCATCGTGCTCCTGAGCTCAAACTGCATCCAATAGACACCTTCTGTGTTGAAAAATTTTAACTTCAAAATTTGACCTCTTTTGACCTGAAAGTGACCTGACCTGAGCTAAGTGTGACTCAAAATGACCTCGAATGACACAGACGACATCAAATTCGAAATCTCTGACCTAAATGGACCATAAAACATGTGTCACGTGACCGACGGATGATATAATATTTTCGTGACCTGTGATGACCTGACCTTGACCTGAAAATCAAAGTACAAGTTTGGTACCCTCAGAGTATCTAGAGCATCTGTTCACGAGTGTGTGAACCAAAAATGAGCCTGATCTGACTTGTAAGACGGCGGCCAGAGCCCAAAACGTGAAGAAGCCAAAATGCTAATAATTTTTACTTTGACCTGACCTGTGACGTCATCGGTGACCTCGAGGTCAATGAAATTAGGTTTCGCTCGACGGTTTTTCCGGGGCTATCAGACGCCGTTTGAATTTTGACGATCGGCCCAGTAGTTTCGGAGTTAGGAGGGGGGGGCTATGAATAGCCCCCCCCCCCCCCCCCAGTAGGGCGTGTTATACGCAGACCCCAGTGGGGCGCGGGTTAACCCGGCAGTTGCTGGGGTATTTCGCCACCCACCGTTTGCTGGGGGGGGGGGCGTTAAACGCCCCCAGCCGATAACTCGAGAACCAATAGGCGCAGCGAAACGCACGAGGCGGCAAACGAAAGAACGCGACAAGACGCTTCAGATGAGTACTTTAAAGTTGAATTTTGAGGTCACAGGTCGGGTCAAGGTCAGGTCAAACACCTGAAATCGGGCTTTCAGTAGCATGGACTTCAGGACTTCGCAATGGGCGCCTCTCGTCATAAACTCTACCAAAACGGTGCACAATCCATCATATAAGGCCTACAAGAGTGTCAGCTCCATGCAGGGGTCAGTCAGGCATAGGTCAGGGTCAAGGTCAGGTCAACCGGGCAGGCACATATCCCCGAAAATAAAAACTGATATTCGCAGCCTGTGACACATGTTTTATGGGTAATTTGGGGCGTAGAACACGATGGTGACATTCATTTTATCATATGTGTACGTGTTTGGCTCAAAAAGTTCAATTTAAGAAATTCATGTATCATGGTCGTGAAGTAGTCACGAGAAATTGCCAAGATTCAGTTCAAGATTTTGGAAAATGCGGAACGATAATCAATAATCGAAGATAGCCATTTGATTCTTCATGGTATTGGCAGTCTAATGGCGTTTACGGCATGTCTATATGTCTATTCTGTGATTTTATATGATTTTTTGAACATATGCCGTTTTTGGTCGAAAACTCAGAAATCATGACGTCACTAAAACGTCGATATCTCAAAAATTTTCCGACCGATTCTTTTGAAACTTTAACACAATAAACTTCAATCGATTCCCTACAGGTACCCAAAATTTGGCGCGCCTGCGGCGCGCCGTTTTTATGCTATGGCCCGGCGAAAAAAGTGGGGGCGTTTAACGCCCCCCCCCCCCCAGCAACTCGCGGGTTAAGCGTTAATCACATGGTATTTTTTATTTTGAGGTTTTGGCTTTTCACCAGGGCCTCCTGGCTCCTCTAACATGTTAACTGCGGGAGATGCAGCCCCCGCAGTCATCCTCCAAACTGGTCACTGAGGGGTACCTTAGTCATTTTTTAGTCTTAGACGTTTTTGGTAGGGGTTACCTTAGTCATTGACCGTGATCGGGCCCCCCAGTCAAAACTGCTTAGAGGAGGCACTGCTTTTCACTCGCTCCCATGGGGGAGGGGCTGCCGCCGCCCGGTGCTCCGCGCACCACGGACGCCACGCGAGCGCTGCTGGCGCGGCGGCGCGCACTGCTCGGCCCGCGCGCCGAGTATACGGTGGTGAACCGGCAGTGTCGAGCGGCCATCAGACGTGACCACGCGGCATACTATGCTGACCAGCTGCGTGAGGCAGGACCGGCGAGGATGTGGACACTGGACAGTGCTGCGGCCGGTGATCGGGGCGGGGAAGAGTGCCACTGCTGCTGCGCCAGCGTGCACGCCGGAAGCGCTCAACGCGTATTATGTGAGCGTGGGCCCCACCACCGCAGCCAGCGTCCCTGCCCCGCTGCTGCGGACCCCGGTACCTGTCAGAATCCCTCGCGTACTCACATGTTCCTTACAACTTCAGTGGGTAGGGTACGTTGCGCTGTATAATATTTTTCAAAAGATGAAAAGATCGATGCTTCGACTTTTATCCTTTTGACTTTTTATTTCAGACTTTGACTTCGACTTTTCTATTTTATACTTTTTTCATTTTTTGACTTTTTGTCTTTTGACTTTTACCCGTTTTGACTTTTTGCTTTTGACTTTGTCTTTTGACTTTTTCCATTTGACTTTTTTGTCTTTTGACTTTTACACGTTTTGACTTTTTGTCTTTTGACTTTTTTCCGTTTTGACTTTTATCCTTTTGATTTTTTGCATTTTTTACTTTTTGTCTTTTGACTTTTTTTCCGTTTTGACTTTTATCCTTTTGACTTTTTGCATTTTTGACTTTTTGTCTTTTGACTTTTACACGTTTTGACTTTTTGCTTTTGACTTTTTGCATTTTTGACTTTTTGTCATTTGACTTTTTGCGTTTTTGACTTTTGCACATTTTGACTTTTTGCTTTTGACTTTTTGTCTTTTGACTTTTATCCCTTTTGACTTTTATCTTTTTGACTTTTATCCCGTTTGACTTTTTGCATTTGACTTTTTGTCTTTTGACTATTTGTCTTTTGACTTTATTCCTTTTGACTTTTTGTCCGGTTACCATACAGCAATTAGGGCCTTGGATACAGCCAACAGACTCAAGATTCTCACAGAACAGACTTACGGAATAGGTTAAGGAATAGCTGAAGTTTCGATGTATATATTTGAAAATAATTAATTATATGACATTTGTGCTCAAAACTCGCGTGAAGTGAAAATGTAGCGAAAAACCCGGTTTTAATTGGCTGCGGCGACCCGCAACCTCAACCAAAAAAAAAAAATAATTCACACAGTCTTCTTGTGACATGCTCCGTAGGAATTGGAATTTCGGTCTTCATTTTGGACGCCGGTGCCGGAGGGCAAATAAGTCACGTGACATTCGGAACTTCTCCGCCCTTCCTGCGCCTTATACATACCTTACCTTACCTTACCTTACCTTCGTGGTGATCGGGATTGAAAAGGCCACTTGGCCTGGGGATCCCGCTCTCATCGAGCTCATGTCGGGATACAGGCTAGGCTCTCAGGGATAGGGGGTGTCGCACATGATGCCACCCCAGTGCTTGTCCAGCTGGGCCTTGAACTGGTTGACGGACTGTGCCATGACCACTGCACTCGGTAAAGAGTTCCAGTCGTTGATGACCCTGAAGCTGAACGCGTTTCTGCGCACGAGTTTGGTGGCCCTCGGTTTCTCGAGCTTCCACTCGTGGCCCCTGGTTCGAGCTGAGTTGCTCCGGGTCAAGAAGCTTTCTGGCGATATGGCCAACCCTCCGTGCAGCAGCTGATATAGGGTCACCATGTCGCCTCTGCGCCTCCGGTAGTAGAGTGATGGTAGTCCCAGTCGACGGAGTCTTTCAGGGTACGGGAGGTGCTTGATTTGTGCGACCATTCTTGTTGCACGACGTTGCACGCGTTCAAGCCTCTTCTGGTCCTCTTTCCCAAAAGGTCCCCAGATTGTGTTCCCATATTCTAGGAGGGGCCGAACCATGGTCTTGTAGAGAAGCGGCAGCGTGTGTTCGTCAATGTTGGCGAATGAGCGTCTCACGACGGCCAGAATCTGTGAGGCTTTAGCGACGGCTGACGCGGTCTGCTTGTGAAAACTGAGTTGGTTGTCGATTTCGATGCCGAGGTCTTTCTCCTCTTCAGCGTTTTGGATCAGAATTCCGTTCAAATAGTACGCATGCTCCGGGTTTCGGTGGCCGAGGTGCATCGCCTTGCACTTTTGGGCATTGAAAGGGAGCAGCCACTTCTCAGACCAGCGGACGAGCGCATCGATGTCAGTCTGGAGGTCATTGCTGCTACCCAGGACGCGGCGGTATAGTTTCGTGTCGTCGGCGAACAGTTTGACCGAACCAGTGACCTCCGAGGGAAGATCGTTGACAAATATCGTGAACAGTACAGGTCCGAGAACCGATCCCTGTGGAATGCCACTGGTCACAGGGGCCCACGAGGACTTGCATCCATGGATTACAACCCTCTGTCGGCGATCGATCAGAAAGGCTGCGATCCAGTTGAGCAGCGGGCCCCGGACGCCGTATGCAAACAGCTTGCGGATCAAACGTTGGTGCGGCACAGAGTCGAACGCCTTGGCGAAGTCCAGGTAGATGATGTCGATGTTGTCTCCGTTTTCGATGGCGGCGCTCCAGTCCTCGATTGCTTCCATCAGTTGTGTCGTACACGACCTCTTTGGGAGGAAGCCGTGCTGGGCGCTGGTGAGCAGACCGTTTTCGCGGAAATGTTGGAGGAGAGCATCTCGGACAATTGATTCAAGGACTTTGACAGGGATGGCAGTCAGAGTGATTGGACGATAGCTCGAGGGGCGTTGGCGGTCTCCCTTCTTGAAGATCGGGGTGATCTCGCCTGTCTTCCAGTCCGAGGGAAGTGACCCAGAGTCCAAAGACTTGCGGAACAGTATGCTCAGAGGGGAGGAGAGAGCCAGTGCTGACTCGCGAAGGGTTCGGGGGCGTATCGCGTCAGGCCCCGGTGCGCTGGTAGTCTTGAGGGACAGCAGCTTTCCTTCCACCTTCTGAGGAGATGCTTCAACATCATCGAGGAAGGGGCCCTGCCAATCAAGGTCCATATCTGGTGCTTCAGTATCCTCATGGGTAAAGATGCTGCTGAAGTACTTGCCCAGCATGTCAGCCTTTACCGGGGTTACATGAGCAAGTAAATGCGTATCAGGAACGGATTTTCCTATGTAGTCCGTTTGTAATGCGTATTAACTCTGCTCATGTAACCCCGAGCCTTGTCTTGGTCACATGATGTCAGATCTCCCCGTTCGTTTATGCCCGTTATACATGCTAAACGTCACGTGTGAGTTTCACGAACCTTGATCAAATCGCCCCAGGCTGCGGCAGTTTTCACCGTCGTCCTTCATTTTGTGTCTTTTTAAAAGTTCTCGGATGACCCGCGCCCTATGCAGATGCAAGGCCGTATAGAGATGCAGAACTTATACGGCCTTGATGCAGATGGTCTCGATCGATTCCTAGACCCACAGAATACCTAGACCCGTCATTCCTAAGGTTAGGTACAGCCTAGGGCCTATGTTTTAGGGCCTTGGGTACAGTCAGCCTGATATAGGTGCCTACCTATAGAAGAAACTGTCTGATTTTAATGTGCATACCGCATACCTATTTCACTCACCCTAGACCACCACCCGATTCCATGACGGTTTTTCGTCCAGCAGATTTTCGTCGGACAATTTTTCGTGCGCAGATTTTCGTCCGACTTTTTTTCGTCTCGCATTTTTTTCGTCTGTACATTTTTTCGTCTGTACATTTTTTCGTCCGGACATTTTTTCGTTCGTATATGTTTTCGTCTGTGCGTTTTTTCGTCCGGACATTTTTTCGTCTACAATTTTAACGTAACCTAACCTAACCTAACCTAACGTAACCTAACCTAACCTAACCTAACCTAACCTAACCTAACCTAACCTTACCTACTGATGTTTGCCTACCGGGGGATAAGGAAAAAGTTACTTGCATGAATAGATTGCAAGCAATGGTAAGTCAAATATTTTTAGGTTAAGTGGTTATGCATCAGGCTTCAGGCCTTCGGCCTGAAGCCAGATACACAACCACTCATGACTTAACCTAAAAATATTTGACTTACCATTGCCTGTAATCTCTCCTAAGGCATTGCCTTCGGCACTGCACTGCTTCGCCCCGAGTATTATTATGACGTCATTTGCCTCCACAGTTGAATAGCATTGTAGTATGTTTTCACTCAACCTTGGGTGAACAGACGTAAAATTTATTGAACGAAAAAATGTCCGGACGAAAATATGTACAGACGAAAAAATATACGAACGAAAAAATGTCCGGACGAAAAAATGTACAGACGAAAAAATGTACAGACGAAAAAATGTACAGACGAAAAAATGCACAGACGAAAAAATGCAAGATACCTATAAGAAACAGGTAGATCCGATGTTTGAAAGTAAAGCCCCAGTCATAAATTTGACGCACCTGTGACATTTCCTGACACCCACGTGACTATTGTATTAACTTTTGTGTTTTGCGATGTTTTGACCTTATTACGGAGCGAGCGAAGCGAGCGTAGTCTTTCCTTAGATTAACGGAAATTTCTGAGTATGAGCGGCCGGCCGGCCGGCCGGCCGGCCGGCCGTGGTCACGCTTTTGCGAGGCTTATATCTCAGCAACCACTTGACCGATTTACATGCGGTAATTTTTGTAGGGTAGCTTCATTCCTTCTACCAAGTATTGCATTGCAGTCACTATTCCCGATGCATGTGGGTGACCCCTTATGCACGTGCCACGTGCAAAACCAAGAGGTGTCACTTTTGTAATTGTTGCAATATCTCGGTAACTACTGGGCCGATTGCGCTGAGAGTTGGCATGTAGGTAGGCACCCACTAGGCAATGCATATCCATGTGCCAGAGTTGGGGTGCTGCTGCACGTGCGCACGTGCAGGGGTCGTTTCCAGATCTCGAGAACGGCTGGACCGATTGCGCTCAAATTTGGTACACGGTTACGGAGCAGTTAGTAGGGTGCCGTGCACAAGTCAGTTGGGACCCATTTTGCACGTGCGCACGTGCAGGGTGCCGCTTCCAGATCTCGAGAACGGCTGGGCCGATTGTGCTCAAATTTGGCACATCGCTAGAGGCCGGTTAGTAAGGTGCCGTGCACAAGTCAGTTGGAGGTACCCCCTCGCAATTTCGCACGTGCAAGGCCCACCCTCTCGCTCGCTCCGTTAGTCGCCACAAAAGGCGTTATACTGGTTTAAAGTACTGAAAGCTCAAAATGTATGATTAATGTTGTTTAAAGCAGCATATTAATAATTATGTTTGTAAATTATCGATAAGCTGCTTATAGGAGGTCACGTGATTGCTACCAGATTATGTGCTCAGAAAGCATCTTTTCAATTTCGATTTTGAACAATTTTTACCTCCTTTGAGGCCAAATGATGGACGGTTTGAGGCACACGATGAAATGCTGAATCTATTGATGCCAAAATTTGTTCGTTTTTTGCATTTTTAGACTAGTATATCCTGGCTCAAACTTTGACCAGTTTGTGTGTAAACCCTATGGTGAAGGGAAAACTTCACGCCCAGCAGGCGTCATTACAGTGCTGCCAAATCGTGTTTGGTGGGGGTCGAAAAAATGTACAGACGAAAAAATGCGAGACGAAAAAAAGTCGGACGAAAATCTGCGGACGAAAAACTGTCCGACGAAAAAATGTCAGACGAAATTTTGTCCGGACACGCCACCACCCACTCACCATTATGTGTCTTATATTGGTCCTATATTGCATCATCACAGAGATGAGATGTGTTTCAGAATTCAGATGGTGGTAACCGTCTCTCAAAAAGGCATGGACGGACTGCATGAAGAGATTGCAGGAATACGAGGTGAGGTGACCAATCTGAAGGCAGAGAATGCCACACCGCATGGTGAGGTGGTCCGCCTGCGGCAGGCGCTGGTTGAAGAGCGTACTACCCACCAAGCTGCCCTGGAGGAGCTACGTCAGGAAGTCCGCCGGCGAGTGGCGCCATCTGACCATTCACAGGGGTGAGAGAAGGAGTACAGGTGATGATTTCTAGACAAAATATTGACACATACATTTGTATTCTTAAGTAATTAGTTTCGTTTCATTCATTGAGTAAGTCTACTAAATTTTATGTGGCCCTCTCTACCCTTCCTCATATGGTTGCAGGCTGCAGCTGAAGCTTATGCACTTTTTTCTTCTGAAAGAAAAAATTCTTCCAAAATTTGGGTAAATGTAAAGTCCTAAGCAGATTTCATGGATAATTGTAATTATACCTCCACGGAGACCACATGGAAACCGAGCGTCAATATCGGAAAGCATCAAGTAGCGGCTGCTGTGAAACAGAATCCAGTAGGTGGCCATCTAGCCTCTGGTAACCTCTGATGACATCATCTGCCTCCCCCCTTCCCAGTGACTCTGTGACACGGTCGGCGGACGCTGCGGCCAGCAGCCCCTCACCTCGTGCTGCGCCACCCTCCGGTGCGGGGGACGAACCGCCATGTAAAGTTCGACGACTGGCTGCGGCGTCCGGCCTTCAGCAGAGGTCAGGGTGAGAGACAGCGGGGCGACACTGGGGTGACAGCAGGGGCGACACTGGGGGGGGGGGGGATAGCGGGGGCGACACTGGGCAGATAGCAGGGGCGACACTGGGGGGATAGCAGGGGCGACACTGGGGGGGGGATAGCGGGGGCGACACTGGGCAGATAGCAGGGGCGACACTGGGGGGATAGCAGGGGCGACACTGGGCAGATAGCAGGGGCGACACTGGGGGGATAGCGGGGGGTGGCCACGCAGAGACAGCAGGGGCCGTATTCACGTCGACTTCGTAAGTCGATATTCCTTCGTAAGTATAATTTGGTATTCATGTCGACACTTTTTTCATGTCGACACAATTTTTTATCGACGGAGTTCACGTGAATAAAAAATGTACTTAAGAAGTGGGTCAAACTTACGAAAATTCTTACGAAAATGATCGACGTGAATACGGCCCCAGGCAGGGGTGTCGATTTTTTCAAAATGGTTGGGGGTGCTCAACCCCTGCACCGGGTGAAAGATTGCAGCTTTGCCATGGGGCACAACCGTGCAAGGCATGGTTGGGTATCACCATAAGGTACTGATAATCACGGGATTTCCCCCCCCCCCATCAGGTTCAGGGGCCCATCGGGTTATTCGGGCCTGAGGGGCCCTGCGGCGCCAATTGGCCGCTGAGAGTCCACGTTGGCTATATTTAGACTCAGAAGGGCCCCACAGGGCTCGTAAGAACACCTCATGGGCCCACAAGTACCAACATTAAGATCTCCATAAGGGCCCCAAGCCAGCCTCTGAGGGCCACTTGCCGGCCTCTGGGGGTCTTAACCGGCCTATAGGGAGCCAGCTCTAGGAGCTGCACACCCGCCTATGCCCCACACCCATTTCTCTGAGGGCCCATATAACGGCGACTGTAAGGGCCCTCACCGGCGTCCCTGAGGGCCCCACACCCCTAACTCTGAGGCCCTACACCAATGCCTTTAAAAACCCTACATGGGCGGTTCTGAGGGCCATTGTCAGTTACCAGCGACCCTGACGGCTCACACAGGTGACTCGGAGGGTCCCAGCGGCGTCTGAGCGCACCAGGCCAGTCTCCGAGTGAACCCCACAAGGCTCCTGAAGGCACCGGTGACCTCTTGATATCTTTTTGTCGGCCTATGAAGGGTCCGTTCCGTAACAGCAGTTCTGAGGGCCCCACGCGCGCCTGTGATGGCCCTAAACCAGTGTCTCTGAGAGCCCCCACAACGGCGCCTGTGAGGGCCGTCACCGGCGACTGCGAAGCCCCCACACCGGCGCCTCCAGTCCGAGGGCCCCACATTGCCATATCTGAGGGCCCCACACTAGTGCCTCTTAAGGCCCTATATCGGCGGCTCTGAGGGCCCAGCATCGTAGCTTCTGAAGGCCCCACTAGTGCGCATGTGACGGCCACCCTGCCACCGGTGACATTTGAAGGCCCCACACCGGCGACTCTGAGGGCCCCATCGGCGTCTGAGTCCGTTCCGGTCTCTAAAGACGACCCCGCAGGGTTTCTGAAGGTACCACCGGCCTCTGATGGCCCTTTGCCGGCCTCTGAGGGCCCGTCGCCGGTCTCTGGAGCCCCCTGCCGGCTTGTAAAGGGTACGCACCAGCAGCTCTAAGAGTCCGACACCCGTGTACGACGGACCCACACAAGTGTCTTTGCAATTTAACGTCTTTTTTCGCCCTTCTTCTTAAAACTAACTTTTCTTTTCTTTACATCTTTATTTCATGCCTTGTAAATTGCGTAATTGTTTTATTTTTTGTAGTGAAAGACTGCAGAACAATTATTTTCCTCAAGCAGAGTTAGTGGGAGTTATTGAGGGACAAAATCATTGGGGGTGCCCGGAAAACCATTGGGGGTGCTCATTTGAGCATTGGGGGTGCTGCAGCACCCCCAAAGGTATACAAATCGACACCCATGGCCCCAGGGGTGTTGAAATTATGGTGAACGTGTGAGCGTTCACTGGGCGCTTAATGACTACGCGCTTCATGTGCGTCTAATCAGTGTACGGCCAGTTACAGAATTTCTTGAAGTGTCAAATTAGTTTCCTCGTATGACGTCACACTGACGTCACTCGGACGTTGTCCTGCCGCCAGTGACTGTGATGTCGATGAACCGCTGGAGACTGACGCTGACAGCAAGTGTGACATAAGACTCTGTACCGCGGATGACACGGGCCCCATGAACGGTGTCGGTCCGCACGTCACTGGCTCGCGCTGCCCGCAGTCCGCACAGTGTTCCGCGCGCAGCGCCCTATGTGTATCTTCTGGATCAAGATTCAAGATCATCTGAAGCTGATAATGAGCAGGCTGGACATCAGGGATATGTTTCGCGCCAGGCGAGGTGAGTGTTCTGGCGACTGCCGAGGCGGTGATGCACAATAGGCATGTAATGCCTATACCAGGCGTTGTGGTGCTCCTCGGTTAGCCAGGGGTTGGGTCGGTACTGGAAAAGTCTGTCCGGGAGTCTGCATGTAGCTGAACGGCCGCTACTGACGTGCACAGTCATGACATGGTTATTACCAGGGGTGCGGAGCCGGAGTCGGAGCCACCATGATATTACGGCCCGGAGCCGGAGCCGGAGCCGGAGCCGATTTTTTTCTCCGAAGCTGGAGCCGTCTAAAATTTCCACGGCTCCGCATCCCTGCGCATAGGGGATGTACTGAGTCGGAACCGAAGCCAGACCACTTTACTCGGAGCCGGAGCCGCCATGACATTTTCACCCGGAGCAGGAGCCGTCTGAAATTTCCACGGCTCCGCATCCCTGGTTAGAGGTTAACCCGGCAGGCGGTGGGCCTCCCGGCCACCTTCCGCGCGGTGGGGGGGGGGCATTTTGTTGCCCCCCTCGTATCCCCGAAACGACTGGACGGATCCGTAAAATTCAAACGGCGTTGAAAGCCCTGTCAAATTTGTCGAGCGAAACCTGATTTCATTGATCTCAGGGTCACCGATGAAGTCACAGGTCAGGTCAAAAATAAAATGTTTGACCGTTTACGGGTCTTCTAGGAATGCGCTACAACATCGAGTAAAACGCATTTTGTCGAAAATCAACGATAACCCGCGCCCCGCTGGGCTATTCAGCCATACGCGCCCTGCTGGGGGGGGGGGGCAGATTCTGCCCCCCCTGTCTAACTTCCGAACCGATGGTCGTAGAAAGACGGGGGAAAACGGCAATCGAAAGCTCTGAACGAGGCGAATCTTAAGAGCTCAAATTTTTTTGCTTAAGTAGGTCAGAGATTAGGTCAAGGTCAGGTCAAGGGTACAACATGCAAGTTTCTACAGTATCGGCCTTGCACCGTAATTGCCGAAGAATGGACAGAGACTGATTGCCCAAAACGTGTTCTTAGGCTACCAAGACAATATTCGTTGCATACAATATCATTCAAAGGTCAAGGTCAAGGTCAGGTCAGGTCAGGTCACCAAAAACAAAATATAGAAAAGGGCATGTGCGACACATGTTTTATGGGTCATTTTATTCATAGAATTCAATAGGCACACTCAGTTAGTGATATGGACCACCTCTGGATGAATTTCAGGTCGAGGTCAGGTCAAGGTCAGGTCAAGTGAGGTCAAATTTTGAAGTTGGTTGTTAAGGCCTAAAAAGGTGCCTATCTGATGCAGTTTTTCACGGCGAGTCGAATGGTGCTATTTTCGTTTCCGTACGAGGTCTAGAACTTCCAAAAAATTCATTTTTCAAAAATTTTGTGTGTCGTGACGTCATAAAATTTTGAATAACTCCCACATTTTTGAACCGATTCTTCTCAAAATTGGTATGTAGGTGCACATAGACCACTTCTCTGACATATATTCCGGTTTTTTCGATACACTCAAAATTTTGGATTTTATAATTATTTTCCCAAAAAAGTTAGTTTTTTGAAAATATTTGGGCCAAAATCCAAAATTTTCAAAAAACCGAGATAGCCATTTGATAGACAAAGTAAAATCACGTATAACCTTTTTGTTACGTCTTCATTCCTTTAAAAATGAGGATGTTAGCGGCGTTTGAAATTTTGCGATTTTTGAGGCGAAAATTGCGAACATGACGTCACTAAAACGTCATTTTCTCAAAAATTTTCCGACGGATTTCGCTCAAATATTCAGGGAATGTGTCAAATTGATGTATGACAAGGTACTGAAAGTTTGACGTCGCTGGCGTAACGCGTTTAAAAGTTATTGGCGAAAAACGGGAGGGGGGCAGATTCTGCCCCCCCAGCGGGGCGCGGGATAAGGCGTAAGTTGCCTAGTACATATGTTGCTATTGGAGGTCACTGATGATACCAGGTCAGGTCACAGGTCAGGTCAGGTCACAGGTCAGGTCACCAAGGGTCAGCACATGAGCCCAACAATAGGGTTGTGCGATGCATGTTTTATGGCCATTTTTTTCATTTCTAACTCAATGGTGTTGGTTGTAAAACAATCAGGTACGGTTTAGGTCACTTTCTGGTGGAGGTCAGGTCAATGTCAGGTCAAAAAAGGTCAAATTTCAAAGTTTTGCATAAAATGGGTATTGATTCGATGCAGCTCGTGACGGCGAGTCTAATGGTGATCTTTGTTTTGCGCTGCATGGTCTGGAATTGCTAAAAATTGAGTATCAAAATTTGACGTCATCAATTTTGAAGTTTTTTCGCTATAACTTGGCCAAAAAAAGGGGTATCGATCTAAAATTGGGTATGTGAATAGAAGTAACTAGGGGCTATTACATGTTTTCCGTTTTTTTCGAAAATCGAAAAACTTTTGTTTTCTTTCGCTATTATATCCAATTTTTTCGGGGTCAAATTCCAAAATTTTCAAAATTTCGTGAAAGCAGTATCGTAGCGCTGGTAATTCTGCACCTTTTATGTCTTAAACATTTTTCTGTATCATCAAAGCTGTAGGCCTGACAGCTCTTCCCGTGAAACCGGTTTTGGGGTCGAAAATGGCAAAAAATATCATAGCTTTTGGAAAGAAAATTGGTCAGAATGTGCATTAGCTGTACTGAAAGTTTGGTGACGATCGGCGCAGCGGTTCTGCAGATATACCGAAAAAAAAACTAAAATTGGGGGCAAAAAATGCCCCCCCCCCCCCACCGCCTGGAAGGTTAACTTTCTTGTTAGAGCTGCAAGGGCTGCCTGTATGACAACTTTGATTCTGAAGCTCGCTGCTGACGTCCCAACTGTGTTTGTTCCGTCGGTGCCGACAGTCTGCCGTCGGTGGCGGTCCGCCGTCGACGATATCGTCAGCGACTGTCGGCGGGAGCTAACCGATCAGAAAACCCGTGGTGGAGAGGTCCCGGCACCGGCCACGAGCCTAGAGCTCGTATTGAAGGTGCAGAACCAGCCGAAGATGACCGAACTGCAGGCGCCGACCGCTGAGACGGACACCGACCTCCGACTGGTCGGTGAGTCCTGTGTGAAACGCGCTATACACGAACTGGTACACTTTGTCTCGCTGTAGCTGCCATACTTTGTCCAGTGTCTATAACCATGTGAATAGGTAGGTACCTACCACTTCACGGAAGGTGTTGCGTTATTCCAGCGGCCACCTGCCACGCCCTGGAAAAGGCTAACCTCCGCGGCTTCAAGCTGAAAGCCTCTGCCCTGCGCCGGCTGGCGCGTGCCAACGCCTCCAGTCTTCGTGAGCTGACGCTGCCGGCCGGTATCAACGACTGGCAGCTGGAGGCGCTGCTGGAGCCGCTGAAGGCCCTGGAGCGTCTCGATGTGAGCCCGCCCGTGGACAGCTCCGGCAAGTGGCTGCGACTGCTGCCCAAGTCGATGAGGAGGCTGGACATCACTGGTGAGGGGGACTGGGTGTTGGTGGAACGCGTAGGCGTCTAGCGCACGTTGCATTAGCACGAACCTGCAGCACTAACCTAGATCTCGCGAATGTTTTAGCCTGATAAGGAAGAGAATGAGCCCTCCGGTAACTGATACATGTTCCGTCCCAACCTAAGCTAACCTATAACCTAACCTAACCTAACCTAACCTAACTCCGTGAGAAAGAGGACTGAGCAAGAAAACTGTTAACCTGCGAATGACAATGTCGTTCTTTAAACTCATTTACCAATACTTTGTTGTTGTTTTTATGAGTACCTACATTAACGGAACGAGGTCTAATCAGTGATGAAGTCTGAAGTTTATTTAACCATCGCCCGTATACGGCGTCATCGGGTGCCGATGACGAATATCATGTTAGTTTTGATCACAGATGATGTCATCATGCATTTAGGCCAGGTCATCACTAGCAGTATTTTGACTATAACGTTTTGTAGAGACGTGCTAGGGCGGTGAAAACACGTCAGATGTGTTCAGCTCGACGATACCGATCGACTGATATGCGGCATGACCTTTTCCGGTCAGGTCATGACCTTGACCTGAGGTCAGATTTTCAAAATGGCCTTTCAAGGTCAACTTATAGTTCATTCGACGCGTCTCGACGAGAGGACTAGGATGCTGGAAAAATAAATGTCAAGGCTCTTTTGAGTCAAAATTGAATACCGAAAAACATTTTTCGTAAAAACGGCTATTTTTTAAGCGTTTGCCCTCTAGAGGTTAAACCGTTGACTTGAGGTCATATCTGAAGACAAAATTCAGAAAGGCCTGTAAAACAGCTATAGATTGCACTTTTCCGCAGCACTGTAGCTCTATTGGTTCCCGAGTTATGCGTCTGTTGTTTTGAACATTGTGAAATAGACAAATTTGACCTTTGATGACTTCTGGCGACCTGATCTTTGACCAGATCTTTTTTCTGTTTTACCAACAGAAAAATTGTCACCTGCCAGATTTTTTGCCTAAAGACCGCTTCACATACAGAGTGAAACAGTACCTAAAGCACATTGCCCCAACAGACGGTAAATAACTTTTGAAAATACCAATTTCCAATTTTAGTGTTTTCTGGACCAAAATTTTGCGAGGAATCCGATAGTGTGGTCATCGAAATCTTAAAAATTTCCATTTTGGAGATAGCACCTATTTTTTGAAAAACAAATATTCGTCAGGCTTAAAGGGACCCTCCCACCTTCACAAAAGTTTATGAATTGGCATGAAAAAGATGTCGCTCGGTTCAGAAAGAGCGAAAACGAATATCTACCAAATTTCACCGAAAAATATTCACCGGTTTTCAAGATATTAGACTTTTACTTTTGTTTACTTTTTGGGATCTCCGCTGTTTCTAGCGACTTTATTTTAGAAGTGCGGCGTTTGCGGCAGATGTTGCGCGCAAATAGCATATACCACCGCGTGCTACAAAACGTTTTAGTCAAACATTTAAAAATCGTTAGATATTTGCGCTGACGTCACACATTCAGAGGGGTATTCCTAAGCATTAGCCCCTCTGAATCAAAATGCTGCAATTTTGAAATTCAATATTTCCGATTTAAGGCATTTCTCGATGTTGTGAGTGCCGAAACTGGTAATTGTTAGCCAGGGACCCCATTTTGGCTATCTCAACTCAAATCTAATGTTAAGGTGGGAGGGTCCCTTTAACCCTATTCCTGGCGGGCTCCGCCGGGACAAGAAACTGGCGGGGGGGGCCGATTCGGCCCCCCTGAGATCTCCAGAACGAAGCAAGATAGCGACAAACGGTAAACGGCATCGGATACGCACGGTCAAGATCTACAATTTTTACTAAGGTCATTTTCAGGTCAGGTCAAAGATGACGTCACAGGGGTCGAAAAAGTCAAAATGGCGGCGCTAGATATGGAGAGAGTTTTTCTCTAATAGCTTTCGAATTAGTCAAGATAGGAACAAACTAAGGGCATCATCGTGATCCTCTCGTCAATCCGCATCGAATGATATATATGTTGACCTCGCAAGGTCAAGGTCAAAGGTTGACCTCAGGTCACGTGACCTCGAGGTCATCATGTATATCATTCGATGCGTCTTGACGAGCTGAACACAATGAGACCATCCATGCGTCTGTATCTTGTTCCTGTACGGAGTTATTGGCCAAAACCCTTTGGTGACCTTTGATGACGTCACATGACCTCACAGCTGCCCAACAGCAAAACAGACCTCAAGGTAGTGAAGGTTGATCGTATATGAAGTCATGTATGGTATATGGGGCCATTCCGACCCGTTTTAGTGGTAAAAACAGGAAGTTGATTTTTCCCCCATTGACTTATAATGGGGAGGTCGCGAAACTGACCTGACCTTAGGTCACCGATATCAAAATTCCGAGATATACAAATTGCACATACTGGTACCCTAACTAAAGCCTGAAGAGAAGAAATTGATCGGTCAAAAACTCTAGCTCTGGCGTGATTGCAAACTTTTCTGAGGTAGGGTCACCAAACCGCCTCTGGTGACCTGACCTGAGGTCAGATCAACTCAAAATTTTCAGACATGTTGCGTAGACGCCTTTTAGGAAAAGTCAGAAAATTTGAGCTTCCTAGCTCAACGCATTTGGGAGAAATAACCAAAAAACCTCAGGGGGGGCTCCTGAGGCCCCCCCCCCCGCCAGGAATAGGGTTAATAGTCAAATAAATTGGAAATATAATGAGTTAATTTTTGTAACAACTCTAGAATGTGTCGAACATGAATTAGAGATATATTTTAGCTGAGATGATACTATATCTGCGCATACATGTACATGAACTAGTACATTAACCCTCGCCGGCCGAGAAGGGGTGGGGCGGGTGCCGCCTAATAGGGCTTTTCGCGATACGCTTAGGGTAGACAGCTGAAACTTGGCATACCTAATCTTTTATTCAAGTTGGATCTTTTGACCTAAACTGCGTTTTCAGGTCAGGTCAGGTCACTGACCTATGACGTCATAAATGAGCCTCTGCGAGGTCCTCAGATGTTGCAACTTTGCAACGCCCTCAGTGCCAGAGGAACTTTCACAGGAAGATGAAACTTACAGGACTTAGTATCCTTCAGAGGTCTCACAACTTGTATATCTCGGATTTAACCTAAATGTCACATGAGGTCAGGTCGGTCACGTGACCTCACCATTATAAGTCAATGGGGGAAATATGAAAACTGTTATTTTGGCGCCGGAAATGATCTAAAACTGTCCCAAGCACATGAAATCGTGGTTTCATGTACTCTTCTCTTTGTATGGTCCGATCATCAGAATAAATGGATATCCAGGCCCGCCGACTCTCGCGGCCTCTCGCGGTAGGTATGTAAAAAAAACTAATAAGTCTTTTATTTATTTATTTATTTTACATCGTGAGCAATTCCGTCAAAACAAGAGGCTATTACATGCTCGTGTCATCATATAGCAATGGACTGGGGAAACGAGACTACATAACGCACATACTTGACACATGCTAACAGGAACAACACTACATCATCGCAGAATGTAGCATCACATTCCATGGTTGACATGCTGGGGCTCACGCTGGTGTTCTAACAAGAACTTCCTGAGCGTGGGCTTAAAGACAGCCGGAGTTGACTCTCGCAATGTCTGTGGCAGCTCGTTATAGTCAGATACCGCCGAGTAGAGAAAGCGGCGCCTCCCAAACTCCGACCTGATCGTGGGAGTCACGGTGACTATAAATAGTGGGAGTCACCAGCATGTCACTGCTACGGGTGTCTCTCCCATGTACACTCCGTCTAATGGACAGGCTAGCCGACAGCGCCGTAGGCTCAGACGTGGCTAACATTTTGTGAATCGACACAAGTCGGTGATACATGTAGGTACATGCTATCAGCATGAAGCCAGCCACGTTCATTGATGACGTCACTCACGCGATCGAATTTTTTTCGTCCAGAGACGACACGCGCGGCGAACCGAATCACCTTCTGAAGTCGACCGCGTTGAGTCGCATTGCTTGCCCCATAAACAGATAGGCAGTACCGGATGACGGAGAACACCAGGCCTTGTACCATGGTGGCCATCACCGACTGTGGCAGACTGTGTCTGCTGTGGCTCAGTCCACACAAAGTGCCGGTACACCGCCGTATGACGTCGTTTGTGTGCGTGACAAATTGAAATGTCATGTCCCTTTCAAACCACACACCGAGGTTTTTGACGGCGTCTGAGCAGGTGATGGTTGAGCCGGCGAATTTGATGCTGACTGATGGAATGCGACGGGTCATTTCTCGTGAGCCGAGCACGATGAACTGGGTCTTCGCTGCGTTGATTTTTAGACCATTTTTGCTGTACCAGTTGTGTGCTACAGACAGGGCCTCTTCGAGCGACCCGACAAGCTGGGCCAGCTCACTCGGCTGTCCCGTGACAAACAGCTGGACGTCGTCGGCGTAGGCGATCATCTCCGTTGGGCCGCCGTCTACGTGCAGTGGCAGATCGTTGGAGTAGATGTTGTAGAGCAATGGCCCGAGGGCGGATCCTTGATAGGTGCCAATCGGGTTCATGAGAGGACTGGAGAGCGTGCGGTCAATAGATGTCCCTGTTGATTGCACCTGCACGCGCTGGTAATGATCAGCCAGGTAGCTTTGAAACCAGCGCGTGTCGACGCCGTATAGCTCCAGCTTGCGTAAAAGCGAGTGGTGCGGGATGGAGTCAAAACAGCGAGAACAGTCCAGCAGACACAATAGAGTGACTTCACGCCGGTCCATAGAACGAAAAACATGATCGGTGAGGGTTAGCAGCGCGGTGTCCGTTGAATGGTTGCTTCTAAAGCCATGCTGATTCGCGGAAAACAAATGGTGAGAACAAAAATAGGCGTTCAACTGTTCGAACACGACTCGCTCTGTGATCTTCCCTATAGTCGGAAGAATGGATACCGGTCTATAGCGGCTGAAGTCATCAGCTTTGGAAGCCTTTGGAATAGGGTGCACGATAGTGAGTTTCCAAGACTCTGGAACGGCATGTGATGTGATGCTGGA